TTAATTGGAGCTGAAATTTCATCATGTTAAGTATTACTTCTCTTTATGCCATCTCGAAATAATTTACGCTAGCTAGGACATTTTTCTGATATTTTTTCTTAATTTTTTGGTTGGATTCGGATTGTTTGTTTGTTGGCCATGTACTGATTCCCATAAAATTGAGGAGGACTAAGTAGATATAACTAGAATTTCTTGCCTTGTGATTTAACTATTTCATGGTTATCCCCCGAATTAAATTACCGTACTATAGCCCCAATGAGAAGATGCACATTAAAACAAAGTGCTTTTTTCGTTGAATCTTGAATATGTGAAAAACATCTACGTATTTCAAGGTCATTTCCAACTCTAAAAGAAAACCTCGGGCCTGTTTGGCACCCAAGATTTTTGCCATACTTTTAACAGACAAATTTCTTTATAACTTTGTCTACAATAACTTCTAAATACATTTTAAAAATTTTAATATACACCCCCCAAAATATTCAATAAACACACAAATTTTTTCTTTCTTTCCCGTATTTTCTTCCTCCTCCCTACCTCAACCAACCACCGATTAGCTCGCAACTGGTAGGAAGGGAAAGGAGGAAGAAGGAGGAGGAGGGGGAGAGGAAAGGGAAAGGAGGAGAAGGGAGAGAGGAAGGAGGACTAGGGAGGGGGGAAGGGAAAGGAAAAAAAAAAAAAGGGTGAGGTGGTTGTGGTGGTGGCTAGTGGTGGCGGGGAGGAAGGAGGAAGAAAAAGAAAGGATAAAAAAGAAGGGTAAAATACCAAAAAACCTCCCTGTGATTTGATAAATATTCAATTTAACTCCCTCTAGTTTGAAAACCTACACTATAACTCCCTGTGGTGTTGAATAAATTGAAAATTGGATAGAAAGCATCCAATCTAACGGTTGTGCGTGAAATGTCAATATTGCCTCTACTATGTGTAAGATGCTTTTCATTCAATTTTCAATTTAGTCGAAATTACAGGGAGTTATAGTGTAATTTTTCAAACTAGAGGGAGTTAAATTGAACATTCAACAAACTATAGGGAATTCATTTGTATAGGGGCAATATTGACATTTCATGTATAATCGTTAGATTGGATGCTTTACGTCCAATTTCAAATTAGTTGAAACCACAGGGAGTTATAGTGTAGGTTTTCAAACCAGAGGATGTTAAATTAAACATTTAATAAACCACAAGGAGTTTTTTGGTATTTTACCCAAAAAAGAAAGAAAAAGAAAAGGAAAAGAATTATTTCTCCAAATTCTACACAAAAGATTTTCTACAATTTTTTAGTAAATTATAATAAAATTTTATACAAACACCTAAAAAACTCATCGTTCAAATAGAGGCATCTATTGCCCATATTTTAAAGCTAAGACATCTAATTATGAGAAACACTTTATCACACGAAACTAATGTAGTTCGAGTTTTACTGCTAATATCTATTTCACAACCCTAAATTTTGGTGGGATAGATTACATAATTTAGGAAGTAAAGTGTCCAAAATTAAAGTCAAAGAAATTAGAGTATAATGAATTTCATACTTTAAAGGATAAAGTGTCCAAACTTGAAGTTTAAGATTAAAGTAAAAATGTGTTTATATTTAAGGTTTCAAAGTGAATTTAACTTTGAGTTCTACAAGTTTTTTTTTCCTTATGGTAAAAAGTTATTTTAATTAACGATTTGGTGTCAAGGTAAAGGGTCAAAATTGATGCTTTTTTTTTTTAACTTACAACAAAAATTTTACTTGAGAGTTTCAGCTTTGGTCCGAAGGTTACAAGTTATGCTCCTGAGTGTTCTTATTTTTTTAAAATGATGTTTGCAATTATATCTCACCCTATAAAAACCTGTGTAATATGCACCAAGATACACTTTAGTCTTATGTCAAAAATATCATTTTGCTGAATATGGGAGTTGGGAATGCTACATACCAGAACTTCATCATGGGGGCTCAGGCCAGATTCTAAAATGAATAACCTTCAAATGGCAGCTACTCAGCTTATCTGTTTGGATTTCTCATATTTTCAAAAACAAGTTTTTCAAATATAATGGTGCAGTAATACACCAAAAAAAAACAACTATAAATCAACAACAACTCCATACAATATCCATACATAAATCATAAATCAAAAACACTATATCCATACAATAAATCAAAAACAACTCCAAAAACACTATATCCATAGAATAAATCAAAAACAACTCCAAATATACAAAAAATAAAAAAAATCTAAACCATTTTCGTCTACCATTGATCACCACCACCCAGCACTACCACACTTACCTACCACCGCCATCATCCCCTTCTTTCTGCTCTCTCCTCTTTCCTCTCCCTCCCTCTTTCTCTTCCCCTCCTCCTTTCCCCTTTCCCTACCCTTTCCCGCCACATCTTACCCCTCCTCTTCACCCCCTCCCCCCCAAAAAAAAATTGGCCTCGACTAGAGGCTATGATCTATCCGTGATGTCGTGACTAGAGACCTTGATCTGGCCTCGGCCAGATCTAGGGTGGGGGAAAGGGAAAGAGGAGGGGTAAGGCATGGCGCGAGAGGAAGGGAAGGCAAAGGGAATAGGGGAGGAAAGAAAGAGAGGAAGAAGATGCGAGGTGGAAAGAGATGGAGGAGGAAAGGAAGAGGAGGAAGAAAGAGAGGGGGGAGAAGGGAGGGGGTGGTGGTGGTAATTTTTAAAAAATATCACAAAAATTTTTAAATTTTGAAAATATCTCAAAATATATCTCAAAAACACTTTTAAAAAAATCACGAAAAACATTTACAGTAAAAAGTTTTTCATATACACTACTATAGTAAAATATTTCAAAAACACTCCCAAAAACAACTAATCCAAACGGGGCTAGTCTAGTTTCCACCCAGATCATAGGTTTGGAATTTTACATGAAACTGTAATTTGCTAGATGAAGGAAATAATTAGTTGGAAATGCAAGTTTAACATTCTAATTCCTATTGTTTAAACCAAACTTAGTTGATCTTTTTTTTTGGGTTGGGGGGGGGGGGGGATATACAAGGTAAGTTCAGTACAGTAGTTGCAATAGCAGTACAATATAGGAAAATTAATATGGAGCTTATAATATTCGGATTTTGGGAATGAATAGGTAATAGCACAAATCAATGATCAGCAACAGTTTGGGCTATCCATTACATGTGGGCTAAGTCCTAGCCTGGCCCTAGCTATTCACTTCCAATTATGAACTTACTCGATAAATCTGTAAAAATTGTTTGAATTTTTTAAATTATCTTTAAATGAATTGATTAAAGATCAGATTAGTACTTTAAATTTTCAGGAAATTTTTGGTAAGCCTAATTACTAAAGTTTTTTTTTTTTTTTGAGGGACCATATTAACCTCCTCTGAAATGTATGAAGTTGTTGGACACCTTGGTACTTTTCTAGTCTTGTTTCAGAATTTCAATTATCATGACACATAAGAAAAAGTTTCCATATCGGGTTTCTCAGACCACACACAACAAAAGTTCTCCTCATTGCTATTGACAGCACTACCAAATACTAATTGGGAGCAGCCATGATAAAACTCTGGACGAAATTGATTTAAAACAAAAGCTCTTCTAAAAAAGAAGGAGAATCATTCGAAGCAACTTTCACATTTCGTCAAATTAATTTTTTCATCTTTCACTTTTAAAATATTAATTTTATGTTCCTTGCAAATTCAATTTAGTAATATTTAGTTCAAGTCAATAATCACTTTTTAGCCTGAAATTATTATATGACCCACATGTAGTCATTTTTAATTTATAAAAGGGCCAGATTTCACTTTTTTGAATGGAAAAAATAAATATGAATTAGGTTAAATCTCACTTTTTTAGAAAAAAAATAAATGTGGTTTGGATCAGGATTTTTTTTTTTTAAGAATAAAAATAAATATGGATCAAGACATTTGTTTAAGTACAATAAGATCTAACATTTTTATTGCTAAAAAATAATAACATGTGAGTCACGTGACAGATTTAGGATAAAAAGTAATAAAAAATCTAGATTCCAAGTAAATTTTACTAATTTAAATTTATAACAGGTTTAAAATTAATATTTTAAAAGTAAAGGACGAAAATATTCATCTACTGAAATATGAGAAGACGTTTTCAACGATTTTTTCAAAAAAAAAAAAAGCATGTTAATTATGTAGGCAAATTCATTGGACGAGTTTGTTACCATTGTAAGCAAAATGTTTGAGCTCAACCAATTGACGCCAAATATTGATCTTATTCATAGTAAATACTCTTAAATGGCCCATCCGACACAAGGCTTTCTTTTTTCCCCATACATAATACAAAAGTGGGACAGAAGAATCATAATTATTCAACGAAAAAAATCCTAAATGGTGTGGTTTGTTAAGGAATTCTTTGGTCTCAACGAACCGACCTAGTTTTCTAGAAATTGTCAATTTGTCAGCCCAAATAACTACAAATCAAAGGGGGAAAAAAAGTACGACGATACAAATATTCAGTTAATGATACCAGAAAGAAACACGGAAAATTTTCCCAAATAGACTCCAAATATTCAGTCTACTCTTTTCCCGAACACAAGCTGAGGTTCATGTTTTGAAAAATAAAAACTTAGCCATTTCTTGGAATACCTGAGAAAAAAATTAGCCACAGATACCCTCCTATTTAACTTTTTTTATCTAGATGAATTCGGGTAGTAGTACTTCCATTTTTTTTTTTTCTAACGGAGGGAGTATCCGGACCATCGGGTAAATCGAACCCGACTAATCCCCCACCGGTCCGAGAGGTGAGACCCCATCCTCCGAACACGTTAACCATGAAACTCGAATCCTTGAGGGAGACTGGACAACGGCTCTTAAGGAAGATGCCGTGACCAAACGAGCTGCCCATGAGAGGTAGTAGTACTTCCAATTGTCTGAGACTTCTTTTCGGAAGATTTGTTCAGCCTTGGAACAACAAAGCTGGTGAATGGAGTTAAACTCAAGACCAGAAGCAAGATATATTACGATCTATGTTGCCTAAATTAAAGATAAACAAGAAAAAAATCTGATAAAGAAAATAAAACTCTGTATAGAACTAGATATGAATTCCATATGCCATGCTACATTTGTCAGTAAAGATAAATTCTATCGTGTGTGCAACTTAACTAATATAACTAGTAGCACTTTTCATTCTTAGATTCCGAAACCTCCATTTCCTCCAGCAGTATCAAAACATATAGGTCCTCCTGGACTTGGAGTGCCAGCACTAACACCTTGCATCAGAGCAAATCTCATGTCCTCGGATGGTTTCCAGTGTCTTTTCCTCTGATTTATAAACCAGTTGTTGATCTGCTTCTGGTCTAATCCTGTTACCTCGGATAGCTTATTTTTCTCCTCTTCCTGCATCACAACATATACTTGAATTGGAAGGACAAATAGGGTCCGCACAAAAGTAGAATGAAAACTTCTTGATGTCGTCAAGGACAAATCACACGTTAATTTCCAGAGGATTTCCAGACAAGTTAATCAATCTTTCAGGTTCTGTTCCTAAGAGTCTTGTCACTGATATTTCTTATGATAGCCTCCATATAATCAGCTCTAGGTGATAGCCTCTAGGTGCATTCATGCCGAACTACAAGAATAATCATTCATTGACATGAAATAATCTGCTTCTTACTTCACTTCTTTTACTATGCAAAAAAGAGACATATAGTGAGAAGATGCCTCATTTAATGTACAAATGAGTTCAATATTTTGTGATGCTGTTAAACTCAAAAGCATAGTTCAAGTCTGTGTGTGGGAGTGCCAATGAAAAGAAACTACAGAATGTCCTTTTCAAATTGCATCTTACAACGAAAGACGTATTTACTCCAAGCGAATAATTCAGAGACATGTTAGCGAATCAGATGTAATGGAATTACCGTCGGATATGGCCATCTATAATGTGTGTTCCACCAGTCCAGGAGTGCTATCCTTGCATCCTTTGGTAGCTTTCCCTTCTTTCGTTTCTTCAAGAATTCCTTTCTCAAGCTGCTAAGATAGCCACTGTATTTGCGCATCAGCATCTCTTTGAGCTCACTCTCACCTTGACCAGCAGCAGAAGATTCTTGACTCTCGGCAACTTCAACTTCTCCACAGCTTAGATCCTCATCGGATGTGACACCTGCTTCATCTGATGATATGAGGTGCAAAGAACGATCAAATCCTCATCCACAAACAGATGCATAACAAGTACTTCAGGTGCAACCTCATCCATAAGCAAGTCAAAAGCCTCTACAAGATCTAAATTTATTACAGATACTTGAGCATCCAGCATGTTATACACCTAAACAGAGAATAGTACATCATGTGATGCATCACAATAGTACAAGGAAATCTTCAGTGAACTTGGACTCTAATTCATTACAAGACATAGGCCAATTATGCATCATTAACTATGAAAACATTCTCTTACGATCATCTCTCTTTCAACTTCCAACCATTTTCTGATACGGTAATCCAGATATCATACCATACATAGGATCAATCAACTACTACATTTTAAAATAGTATAAGCAAGCAAAAAGTTCAAATTCAAATCAAGTCATGCTAGTGTGTTGGAGTTTGGATCCATACAGCAATATCACATGATTGTTCTTTAGCTATCATACAAGTCTTAGCCCAACTTTTTTTCTGTTTTTTGGTGAGTTCTATATCTATCTTAGGACAACTTAAGGGCACCTAAGAACTCAAACGACATTCTGCACCCTACTAAAATCACTGGAAATTTTATGGTCCACATTTCTCAGCATCCTTTGCTTCAGTCTTCCCAAAAAGTGTACCAAGGATGGGGTCAATGGCGGAGCCAAAAAATCTTCTTAGTGGGAGCAAAACTTATTAAGCTATGTGTTTGAAGGATGATTTCTGTATCTCGTGTGCTTTCTTTTTTTTTCTTTTTTTTTTTTTTTTGTTCAAGTCCTATAGCATTCAAGTTAATTTTCGAGTCGACGACTAATTTTTTTCTCACTTTGGAGTCATCCACATATGGTTGTCTTATTAGATTAACTTCAATATGAAAAGCCCGATAAAGTGCAAGAAAAGAACATTAGACCGATGTACAACTTGCAAGATGATAAATAGTTCATATTAACTTTCAATTTAAAAGAATCACGTTGGAATTTGACGCTTTATAGTTATCATAAAAGGTTTCCATCATTTTTTGCAGGTTTTCATTTCAAAATATATATCTACCAAAACAAACATCATTCTAAGTAATTTTTCGATCAGAAAAATAAAAGCTACCAATTTGCTTGACAAAATAAAAACAAGAAAACAATATATGTTAGTCATCAATATTTATGTGTAATTTAGATGATCAAAATAATACTTAATGCAAATGGGATAGACCTTAAAGTTATATGTAGTTAACATTGTTTATACCTTAGTAGGGGCAAAGAGTTGAATTTATTATTATGTTTGTAATTCTTTCAAGTTTTTAACCTATTACACAAAGGAACACACTGGAGGCAGTGGGGGCAAGTGTCCCCATTGTGGCTCCGCACTGGATGGGTTATGAAACTGCACAAGCACAAAGTTGCTAAGCCATTATGAATAAGTAAATGGGAAAAATGAACCAAGACTTGATGACTAAATTATTAAACTGTTCCATCTTCAGAGTTTCTACTTCAGACTATAACCAAAATTCCACCCTAGGTAATTCTCTCCTTAAATCTCCGTGGACTCAAAAGCAATCTGCATTCACTGGTTGTCTTTTCAAATTTGCCCCATTGTTGAAGAACTTCAGATGCACTTTTCCATGCCTCTACCTGCCTGCCTGATCCGTTTCATTCCTACATCCATTTTGCATATAAATTTCATTATGAGTCGTATCTAGACTTCCTCTCACTTGAACATACCAGCAACCCAACATTCTTCTACCTAAATCCATCTGATAACACAAAAATCATCATGTCATGTGCTTTCATCATTTATCTCTTATAAGACTTTTCTAAGCTTGTATTTTTCCTTTTCTTCAGGTTTACAGACATCTTTATAGTGTATACTACCAATTTATTAAGAAAATTAATACTTTTTCTGAACAAAAGTGAAACTTTGCTAAAGAAAATTGGAAGGTTAGCAAATACCAAGTCCTCAAAGAAAAACCAACCGCGTTTTCTCCCCGTTTGCGTTCTGTTGATATATTAAACAAACAAAGAGAAACTTTAGGCACCATGGTCCTTTAGAGGTTCTTTTGATTGTGAGCGCCCGTATCAGACTAAATGAAGTTGCACATAGTAGAATATCAAGAACTAAATCGTGAATGTATGCAATTGTACGAAAAAATCACTGAAGGGAACTCTTATATTCAGTCACCTATTTTCCCTGACATATAAACAAGAATTCCTTTCAGTAGGTAGGGTTCACAAAACTAACTGTTTTCCTTTTCATTTGGGTAAATAAAAACGTGCCCGGTGTCCATGAAAAGACCTAGCTTCCAGCGCCTAGCCAAAATAAGTAGATCTAAATGCCTTTTCCAATAACTCTCACTAGGAAACTAACATTGGTCAGCTTCAAAATCAGCTGTACAGCAGTCTATAATTGCATCGTCCTTGTTCCAACTAACTTATTCAATCCCAGATGACAAAGTCAATTAGCCGATGAAAATTTCCACTAAAAAGCCAACATCCATTTCTTTCTTTATATCCCTAGTCAAGGTACCTGTAGTCCCACAAACAACAGAAAAGGAACATAATCACTGCTCGTCATTTATTTATCTTCCTTTCTTTTCTCTTTTACCCTTCTCATTAGGAGTAAGACAGTTCTTTTGCTGTTGCAATGCTTCTGAAAGTTGAAAAAAAACCTTAACCTTTCTGTTCCACGATTACTATCTTTATTAACCTATGAAAACTATCATAATTATCGTCAAAACTGTTCATCTTTTACTGCTTCCTACTGTAGGTGAAAGGGAACAAACTGAAGACTAATAGTGACCCTAACCTCCTACAAGCGTCAATTACCTAGACTAGAAAACTGACAAGGCCATTAAAAGGGGGGCCTAACCTAAAGCCAATGCTCAAGTGAATGGAGCTCTTAGCTGCTTCTCTATTCCTACGGCATCAGTGGTAGAGTCACGGAATCGGACGTTTACGCATCATGTTCTCACAGTAACATTGACCAAGAAAATATTCAAATACATGGTTCCTACATACGCATAATTCAGGGTTTAGGCATTTAGCTAGCTTTGTCATGCAGTTTAATCAACAACATGATCAACCAAAATAAAAACTAATCTGATCTGACCATATTTAATAGCCCAGAAACAAACGCTCAAGCGGGGTATACGTTGTACAATGATGAAGGTCAACATGAAATGTACTTTGAGAAACCATAAAGGCAATAGAGGAAATATATAATGGTTATAGGTTCACTTTTGCTGCCAAATTTCTATCTTTTGCACCCTCCTTTTGGCAGCATAGATAAATGCTACACATACGAACAAATGCATTACAAAAGCTTGCCTTATTAAACTAATGTACCATGCATCGATTGTAAAGTTCAAAATTCACGAGCTCCTCTATGTTCAAAGCTAGGCATCCCAGAGTTGTCATGTCATGTCCCTTGTTGTGAACTTTTCCTTGTCACTGTTTCTTGAATTATCAATAGTCGATCCAAGAACTTTTCCTACTTGAAATCTGTTACCCTATTTCTTTTGCAGGAGAAAGCAAAGCAACACCATGCATTATTCTCTTTCTTGTCACGCCTCTACGTTTTTGTGACAGACTATAAAAGATTTTTTCCATTCATTTTCTAATCCATCTTTTTAAAACCCCAAACCCAATAGCAGGTGAAAACAACCAAAAAAAAAAATCAAGGGGTTCAAAAGATCGAGTACCAGAATGATAGTTTGTGGAGGTCATCGAGGAAGACGTGGTTGTGGTAAAATTCTCCTTACAGAGGTTATTGAGTTCCAACTCAATATTGCTCAAGAAAGTAGTCGCTTCATCAAACGGTTTCAACAGCTCCTCCTTATATCTATGTAGAGCTTCACAATATGATTCCTTCAAAAAAAAAAGAAAAAGAAGAAACAGCATCAAAAATAGTAGTGATTCCCAATAGCAAGTAATCGAAAACAGTACTCCAAAATCAAGAATCATTATTAACGTATGTAGAACCCTTGACCCCTTAAATTCTATCTGCTAGAGCAAAGTCTTTCCAACTTACCATGAATTGATCTAGTTCAGGATCAGCACTTATCCCGCTAGGACTGCTTATGGGGCGACTTATTTTGCTAATTTCTTCAAGTAACGAAGCCATCTCTGGTGGTGCTCCAACCTTTTTTAAGCATAATATATCATAAAAAAATTTGAGGGTTTTAACTGATAGTATGTGCGGGGAGGAGTTATGAAAGACTGATTACCTTTCTGCATTCAACATAGGCAGAAACTAAGTTAGGGTATAGATGATGACTAGCAATTTGAATCTTTAAAAGATCTGACATCTCTGATCCAATGACTTCATCGTGACTATTTTCACCAGGTCTAAACTGAACTAAATTCTCAACTGGGCTACTGCGATCTAGCCCTCTCATACTTCCAACTTCAACCGCTCCACCATCGGGACATGAAAATGAGGTGTGAATTCTGTATAACTCGTCCATGAGCTTAAAAAAAAAAAAAAACCAAACCCCAGCGTGTATATTGTTACTATCTTCTTTCTTCAACTTGGAAACCTCGCTTTGAAAAACAAAAACAAAATCTTCAAGAAATTACACTATATACAAGAACGCGATGAAAACGCTCAACTGCCATGCTCAGAGAATCCAGACTATTGAGGGAAAAAAGAGGAGAAGTTCAATAAGGTTTTGTACACATATCATAAGATGGACGGGGATGGAACCTGAGAAATTACGAAGGGAGTTAACAAATTTATGCAAAGGGAAAAAGATGAAAAGGACTAGTCTTGGATAACTTTCTTTCTGTTCCAATATTGGACAAGGATATTTGATGGGAGGAAAAAAAGAGAGCTAAAGAACGCTAGTAGAACTATAGTAGTACTTAGATTTAACATTAATTAGCTGAGGTGGTGGGGTTTGAGAAGAACGATAGATAGGCAGATAGCACTTGCAATATTGCAATATTGCATAGTACTTGATTTTTATTTTTTTTTCCCCAACAGCTCAACTAGTCAAATATGCACAGATGCATGCGTGTGGGTTGGCATTGTTGTTTAGTATAATGTGTGGGTGAAAAAGTTGGGGAAAGGGATGAGGAAGGGTTACGGAGGAAGGATTGAATGTTCGAGGTATTTTGGCACGTTCTCGCACGCTGGGCAACAGTAGAACAGTGACAGTGTCCGGGGCCGAGGGTGCGGCTGCAGTGGCAGTACGAAACAGTGGTATAAATAACTTAGCTTCAATTTTTTTTGAACCAAGCATAGACTGCCTTTGGCTTTGAGCGTTTGAAGAGGGGGATAGTTGTGGACTTGGCCTGTATCTATCTGAGAGATGGATGTGTCAGTGCAGTAGTGATAGATAGGGATAGAAAGAAAGGAAGAGAGAAAGAGACTGTGGTGATGTGACGAGGCCACGTTTCGGGAGATGATTAGAGGGCCGAGCTGCAATTGTGGGACAGCTGCTCAAACTTTGACGGGAGTTTGCAGCTGTTCCATTGTCATCAGTGGAGTGAAACAACATGACTCCCTAAAGGCATGGAAGTCCCAGCCCTGAATCCTTCCAATTCTCTCATTACACGCTGAATTTATAACAGCCAAACTCTTGTCTCTCTCCCTCCTTCCCCGTTGTTAAAACCTCCTCTTTTTTCTCTAGGGGTTTCTTTGATGTTTCCCTTTCGCTGTGTTAATTACAAGTGTCAATCTTATGTACATTTATGCATTACTATCACCGTTAAATATATGTCATATATGTAAAATTTAAATTTAAAATTTAAAATTTAATCACGTGTTATCCATCCAATCATGATAATATATATAAAATTTACTCTAATTAAAAGGGATAATATCAAAAACTTCTACTAAGGTTTTCGACAGTTGAAGCCACCTCTCGTGAGTTTTGAAAAAGTATGAAAACCTCCTCACGATACTAAAATTGATGGTATAAGCCAAAAAAAAACAATGAATATCCAATATTATCCCTCACTAACATGTAAAAAGAATTAAATGTTAAAAAATCAACTATCACCATTATCCGTTAGGTAAAATTTTCAAGTTAACTTTTTGTAGAAAAATTTAAACCATGGTTTAAAAGCATTCTTTTTTGGTTAAGTGATTTTTGAAGATACTTATTTTAATAAATACCTCCCTAATTGGTCGATCAACTTTTTGTAAATTGATTAATAAATCTAATCAAACAATTGAGGATGAAGTATAATGCATTAGATTAGTTGGCGTTAGAATTTTAGGATTACGATAAAGAAGTATTACCAAAAAAAGAATTTAATTTTTCTTTTAGACTCATTTTCACTTAAAATTTGTAAAGTTTGTGAAGGTTATCATAGTATTTTCATAGCCTCAAAAGAGGTAAGTATAATTTTTTAAACTTTAGAGGAGATGGACACAATTGTCAAAAATCTTAAGAGAGGTTTCTTAAATTATCCCATGTTAAAAACTAAAAGACATGCACTGTATGTTGAGAGGTGCATGTTATCTTATGTCACTTCCATAGATTTAAATTTAAATTAGATTAAGAATCACTAAAACATACAAACTACATATATCAAAAGATACCCTGGTAACTATCAGTTTGTTTGGATCGAAGATTATTCAAAAAAATGGAATAATTGTATCATTTTTCAAGACATAGAATTAATGTTTATGAGATAAAAAGATTTTTTAACAAAAAAAGATAATTAAAAACATGTTTATGATGCAATAAATTTTGAAAACAATTGCTGTCAAAATAGATTTGTTTGGATTAGGAATGCTTGAAGATGTTCTTAAGAAAAATTTATCTGTAGATTTTGTAATTTAAAATTTTTTTAAGTTATTAGGGTTGGTTTAAAACCACCACCCTTGCTTTCCCTTTCTTTTTTTTTTTTTTTGGCCATCTCGTCCAACCACTTATCAACTTGCCAACCTCTCCCTCCATTCCCCCCCCCCCCTCTCCAAACAATCACTTCTCACTATAACCCGCAAACCCCTTCCCCAACACTCTTAACAACCCACCATGCCTTACTTATCACCAAAACTTTTAACGAGTCGAATCAAGTCAAATACTTGATTTTAGACCCTGTTCGTATATTATAAGAATAGGATTCAAATTCAATCAAATATTAAATGAGTCATAAATAATGTTTGAATTTGATTCATTAATTTGTATAAATATTCGAATTTGACTTGTTTGATTTAACGAGACAAATTTGAACTCGAGTTTGAATTTAAGTTTGAAAATGATTTAATTATATTTTCTAAAAAATAATTCTTTAGTTAGAATAATTTTAATTATATTTCTTCGTTATAAAAATAATTAATACTAATTTTATATATAAATATTTTTTGATAAAAATACAATATATATTTAATAATATTAAATGTATTTATACTTGTATTTATTATTTTTATAATTAGTTCACAACAGATTCATGTTCGCTCGATTATTAATAAACATAATATTGTGTATGAACTCTATTCATTTTTTATAAAATCAAACTTTTCTGAACTCGAGCAAGTCGTACTTGAACATGTTCACAAATAGTTTAATTCATCACCTCTACTTATTATAGGATTGTCAATGGGGTCGGGTCAACTCGACCTCGACCCATTTGGCCTGAAAAAACTCATTGAGCCTAAACTTTAATGGGGTTGGGCATAATTTGGGTTTAAATATTAGGATCGGACTAAATATGAGCTAAACTTGGGTTATACTAGATTCAGACTCGATTAAAACCAAGCCCATATATGAGTATAATTATATATGTAAATATATATAATAATATCTATAATTTATAATTATACATAATACGACATAAAATGTTTATAATTTATATATAAATTTGTAGTAACTCATAATTATAAAATATATATTATATATAATTATGTATTTAATTAGTACGAGTTTGGGCTAAACCCAATTTAAGATTGAAATTCATATCATAGTGTGAGTTGAGTTTAACCTTTTAATATGAGCTCAAACTCAAAAGATCGAAACTCAAAAATTCATAGAATTTGTAAACCGAAATTGGGTTTGCTAAAGTCCGATTCAAAAAGCAATGAGGTTGGTTGTAGGGTAAAGAGGTGGGGGTTACTGAGGATGGTAGGGAATGTGGAAAGAAAAATGTTGGGTAATCAAGAGGGTGATGGAAGGGATTGGTAGTAGGGAACTAGAGGTGGTAGGGATTATGGTAGAGAAAAAAGCGATGATATCGTTAGTGTGTTTTTTCTTCTTTTTTTTTTTTTTTTGAATGTGTGTTTAAGGGGTTGCTACAAACTTTATTTTGTTAAAAAACGTGTCTTTTAAAAAAACCAATCCAATTACATTCTAAATTCTATTTGGATTCCTAGTTTTTCACAAAAAAAATGTATAGTAAGTATCTAAAAAATATGCTAAAAATACCTAAAAACAACCCACAAAACACACCAACACGCTATCATCCAATCTCACTCTACCACCACTCTTACCACTTCTCACGCCCTCCCTACTAGGGATGGCAACAGGGCGGGGTTGGGGCGGGGGACCCCTCCCTCATCCCCCGCCCCGCTGCCTACAAACTCCCCCGCCCCCGCCCCATCCCCCGTCCCCGCCCCGCTCTTCTTCCCCCGTGGGTGCCCCCGTGAGGCTAATAAAAATTTGTTATATAATTTTATTATGGTTAAATTTTAGCAAATAATCAAGTACTAAAATATTAACACATCATCAAATTATTATTCATTATAATTTTACAATTGAAACTTATAAAAACAATCAAACAAAAAATATTTGAATACAATCCAACATTATGAAATAAATATAACTAAAGTAGTCAAGTTTTCACTTTTGGCACAAATACAATCACTAATTCATTATTGTGCTTGTGCTTTTTTTAAGAAAAAAATATTATTGTATTAAGTGTAATTAGGGATTTAGTATAAATGTATTAGTAAATTTAGTATAACCAATTAATAATTTGTATTAGTACACATATATAATTATTAGTATAATTAATAATATCAATTATATTATATATACTAATAGACATTATATAATACATATAACCAATAATATCATTATCATAAGTTTGTAACTAATTAAATTATATATTATATATATAATTATATATATATTTTTTAAAGTAGGTGGCGAGGCGGGGGTACACTCCCCCGCCCCCCGCCCCGTTTCTAATCGGGGGGAAAAATATTCCCCCCGCCCCCGCCCCGTTTCTAATCGGGGGGAAAAATATTCCCCCCGCCCCCGCCCCCGCCCCATTAACCCCCTGCGGGGTGGGTCACCCGTCCCCATTGCCATCCCTACTCCCTACAAAGGAAGAAAAATGCCAAGAATGGCGGGGCTAGAAAGATGAGGAAGAAGGGAGAAGAACTGCTATGATTTATAAAAATAACGTAAAAAAATCTTTAAAGCACCTTATGAATATCTTATTCAGAAATTCTTTCAAAAGATAAAATCCACAATATATTTCAAAACCCAATCAACAACACCCAAATTTTGATTAAATTTAGAGTAAATTTTTTATACATGAATAGTGTGTATATCATTACGGTCAGATACATGACATATATGCAAATTTTAAATTTTAAATTCAAATTTAAATTAGTTATCATGCACATGAATTTTATGATGTAAATAATGTCAATGTATATAAGATTAATCTTTAAACTTATATATTTCAACCACTATTTTATGTTTATGACTATCTTTTACCTGCACAGATAACATAACATAACATGCCACGTTATTGTTTCTTAAAACAATTTCTAAACTACCCAACTCAAAAAATAGACTACGTAGTACATACAAATCAATTGAAAACAAAAGGCCTTAAAATAACTAATAAATGTTTTCAAGGTAATGAACGCTGTGAAAGCTATTACTCAACTACCGAAACAGTATGAGAGCGGATTAAAAGTCCTCAAAGCCAATAGACCGGAAAAAGAACTCATCTTTTTTTCTTTTTTTTGGTCAAAAGAGAAAAGTAAAGAACTCTGTCGATGCAGTAGAATATAGTACAATATGTCAACGTAACCAGCGATGAGGAAGAATACATCCCGTTGAACGAAATACACCGGCCGAGGAAATGTATACCTAGTTCTCAATTGAGAAAACGTCGTCGGCCCAAAGACTAAGGAAAAAAAAA